CTTTTGGCTGAGGCCGAACTTGGACCAGGTCTTTCTGTCGGCGACGCGGGGGTTGACGGTCTCCTTGTGCGTAACATAGCGAACTCGGCGGGTCGTCTTTACTTTCTGACCCTGGTCATTGTATCGAAATGTGATGATGGTCTTGGTTCCGTCCTTGTTGGAAATGGTCTGGGGAGGAGGGAGATCGGTGGTCTCTTCGACATCGTCGTCGTCGGCCCAGTCATGCCTATTTTGAGGGTGGGGTTAGCTATGCGAAACCAGCCTGGCGATGCTTCTCTTCAGGGTTACTCACTTGGCCTTCGGGGTTGCCGTCGTAGCCATGATTGCGGTTTTTTGATTTTCTATACGCCTACTTTGCGCCGTAATCGTGGTTCAGGTAGATTATGGACGTAATTCCACGCCTTGGGGCTGGTCGTTGCGATCGTGGGGTTTCTTGGATATCGACGAATTTAACACTTTTTCGTGCGATGAGTGTTGGTCGTCGTGGGGCGAGAAGTCAAGCCACGACAGGTGTGGCTTGTCGCACATCACGTGATGCAAGTCCTCCTTGCCAGCTACCCTGAACATTTACAAAGTACCTAGGTAGACAATGTTGGTTTAGGCTTTGACTCCTATCCCTTTGGGTGCTCGAAGGTGAAACTTGCGTATCGAGCAAGGATGTCGGCCAATGAAAACCCTTAATATGGAGGATACATAAGTTTCCTAACATGATGGTATGAGTACAAGTAATTTCAGTACTTACAAAGAGCTACATCGCACTTATCGCAGCCCGAAGGCTTAGTGGCTGCCTTTGTTGCCAAAAAGGTACCTACCAGGTATCGCAGAAAAAGTGGGGCTGTTACGAAATCGGCACCTTCGAGCACCCAAAGGGACTCGTTGGAGTAGTGAAGGGTGGAAGACAGAGGGTTGATTCCGGTCGTTAAATGGGAATTTGTGAGGGAAGTACAGTTTGTACTAGACTATCACCAACATGAACTATTGAGAAGTATGCCAGAAATCATGGGACGAGAAATACAGGGTGCAATTCAGACAAGCAAAGTACACTAAAACGAGTTCATTTATTAATTTGCAGTGGGGACTGATATCTGGGGTTTCGTCTCTCACATTAGCTGCCACATTATCGGCAGCTACGGACCCAACGGATAAATAGACCATCTCGTCAATCTGGTATGTTCTCCTCGGACAATAGAGGCATTGGCTCGGGTTACTATCGTCGCGAGGTGGGAGAGTTATTTGCCACCATCGTCGCCTGCTTGCCTGTTGTTTTACCAGCCAAGAGTCCAAGCTTGGCCAAGAGCGGCGCAGCCCAGGACCAGTTGGGTGCACTACCACGTAATCAGGAAGCCGCACGCGTAATCTCAGAGACACACTACCGAAAGCCCCGTGTGGCGTAGAGTCTCGTTCGTCCTGTGACACGCCGAGAGTTTCGACCACCTTGAATAAATTCGAGGCTCGGCCTTCTTGGCGACCAGCTTGTACCACCTGTTGGGCCTGGCACTCTCTCCTCACTCAACATCTCTTTTTTCCCCTTCTTTTTTGCTGCTCTGACATATCAACTCACCCGTAACAAACCTACCGATAGGCGCCCGCGAAACTGCACTCGAAGCCCCTCCACCGCGACAGTCATTGAATACCATCGACATGAGCAGCAAGGTTGAAGAGCCCCCCCCATACGGCGGTGCTCCTCCACCCGTGGCCCCGAAGCCTTCCTACGGCGGCGGTCCAGCGCCGTTCCCAGATGCCCAGCAGCGCGGTTCCCAGC